GAGAGTTTTGCAGGATGTATTATTCTTGGCTGGTAGTTTTTTTCTTTCAAGGTTTTATATATATGTCATTCCATTGCCTTCTTGCCTGCATGGTTTCTGCCAAATAATCTGTGCTCAGTCTTATTGTTTCTCCTCTGACTTTTTGTTTTTCTCCAGCTGCTCTCAGGATTCTTTGTTTGTCTTCGGTTTTGACAAGTGTGATTATGATATGCCTTGGTGATTTTCTTTTGGGGTCTGTCCTACATGGTGTTCGTTGAGCTTCTTGGATGGTCAGCTTTTCATCTTTCATGATATTGGGGAAGTTTTCTGTCAGCAATTCTTCAATGATCCTCTCTGTGTTTTCTGTTTTCTCCCCGTTCTGGAACTCCAATCACTTGCAGATTTTTGCTTTTGATTGTATCCCACATAATTCTCAGGGTTTCTTCATTTTTCTTTGTTCTTTTTTCTGATTTTTCCTCAGAGTTGTACCCACGTGTTTGTCTTCAATTTCACTGATCCTATCTTCCATCGTTTCAAACCTCCTCCTCATCCCTTCTATGATACTGTCCATTTCTGAAATCTTGTGTTTATCTTTTGGATTTCTAATTGTTGTTTTTGTATGATTTCTAGTTGTAAATTTATTTTAGTATTTTGTTCCTGTATTATTTTCTCAAATTCTTCCACTTTTTTGTCTGTGTTTTCCATGAATTTGTCTATTTTTTCCTCATTTTTGTCTGCTTTTTGCTTCAACTCTTAGGGAATTCAAATCTCTGATATTCAGAATTATCTATCAGTTAGGTCTACTGCCTTTTCTTCTACTGAAAGGTCGGCTAGTGTTTTATTTTAGATGTCTAGTGGCACCATCCTGTCCTGTTTTTGTAAATGTTCTGATATTGTCTGCTGTCTTCCAGTCATTCAGTGGTTATTTTCCTCGTTTACTGACTGTAGATTTGTTTCGTCCTGCTTTTTTGTTTTATTTGGTTATGTCTGAGCAGGCAGGCTGTGTGTTCTTTGTTGTCTGCTCGTCTCTGGACATGATACTTTTCACCTCCTTCTCCAATGGGCAGGGTCAGTCACTCAGGTATGGTAGAGCAGGGCAGGTCCAGATGAAGGGGAGTTGCTGGGATGGGTTGTTTGTTGCATGTACCAGGGCTGACAGTGCGGACCGGGAATCAGTGTAGGGCACGTTCCAGTAGGCCGTGCCTGTGCTGCTTGGGAGTGTGATGTTCAGTGCATGGTGCAGGTAGGCAGGAAGGAGGGGGCAGATTGTGATGTGTGGAGTTAAGATGGGTATGGGAAAGATGAGAGAGAAGAGAGAGGAAAAGGAGCCAAAAACATACACACAAACAAAAAAGAGTAGTAAGAGAGCTTGCTATTGGAATGGAGAGATGAGAGACTAAGAAATAGGGAAAAACAAAAAGAAAAAGGGTAAGAGAAAAGCAATGAATAAATCGAGAAACTAGAAACGAAGAAAAACAAAAAGGAAATAAGAAAACAAAACAAAGAAACAAAAAAAACCAAAAACAAGAAAAAGAAATGCCCCCAGGGATGTTCCTGTGCGTCTGCACAGAGTAAGGGAGTAGCTTCCAAGCCGCGCAGTACTGCCTGGCTAGAAGGGGCTCCCAAGCCAAGAAAAGAAAAATAAAACAAACAAACAAATCAAAACAGAACAAATCAGAGCAAACAAAAAAGCCGCGGGGGTCCCACCAGTGTGGCGGCACAGGCCAGGAAGCAGTTCTATAGTTGAGCAGTGTTTTCGCAGCCTTTCAGGAAGAAGATGGTGCACGGAGTCAGGTATTTGAGAGAAAGGAGGGGGTGGTGGTGAGCGGTAAGGAAGAAATCTAAAGAAGTGGAAAAAAGCAACACCAGCAGCCAACAAAAGTCACTGAGGGAGCTGGCCAGCACGGGCGGGTGCAATCCAAGCGACACTGGAGTGAAGCTGGTGCTTCCCAGCCAAGAGACTGTGGCTGCAGGAAGTAGAAGAGGCTAAGTGGGGGTGAAGAAGGGTTGGGGGGTGGAAAAGCCTATATTGCTAGTTACCGGTTATTTTTTCTCTTGCTGGAAGTTCCGTGAAGCTGCAGTAGCTGATAGGGGACCTCTGCATGTATCTCTCCTTGCTGTCTGTTCTCGGTCAGTTTCTTATTCCATTTGGTACTTGGCTGAGTTCTTTATCTCTTCATTTGATGCTTAGGGTTTCAGGATTGACGTGTGACTCTGATTTAGTTTTTTTCTCTGAGATAGTTTTTAAAGTGCTTGTTAAAAATCCAAGATAGGTAAATGTTTTCAAGTGGTCGGTTATATGGATAGTGTCTCAGCAATGACACAGCTGGCGACAGTGACCAGGACTAGCCTGAAGAAGCAGTATGAGTCAGACTGATTATAAGTTCCTCTTTCCGCTGTATGCTTTCATGCCTGCATCATCTTTCTCCAGTCCCTGAGTTCCGGGCCCAGGCGAATTCATTATCTGCAGACAATAATGTCCTATCTCCCTTCCTATTCAGACCAGTCTCTACATTCCACATCAGTTATTCAACCAGATCTAAGTGATAAATGCCTTGAAACAGAAAAACTATGCATCAGAAAGTTCGACACATTACAGTGAACCCTGTGAGAGACAGAACTTGCTGGGATGGTCTTGTTTTTCCAGGTCTCACCAGTTTTCCACCTTTGACGGTGCAGTCTTACCACTTTCCTATTGCTCTCTGTTAGTGGAAAATATTTGAGTTTTCCTTCTCTGACAGGCTTCTGCTTTACACAGGTTCTGGTTTTCGCAGTTTTACTGTGTAAGAGGTGAGTGCAACGACCTTCAGACACCCTTGGTGTAAAATAACCCTGACAACTTAGCTAGTTCGTATGCTCCCACAACAGCCTGCTATTCTTCCAAGGTTATTCTGGACAAGTAGCTTCAGTAAAGAAGGTACCAGGCTTATGTATAAGGTACTTAAAAAAACCAAAACCATCGCCATTGAGCTGATTCTGACTCATAGCAGCCCTACAGGACAGAGCAGAACTGCCCCACAGGGTTTCCAAGGAGCAGCTGGTAGATTCGAACTGCCGACCTTTTGGTTAGCAACCAAGCTCTTAACCACTGCACCACCAGAGCTCTATGAGGTACTTAGTGTATGTTAAGTCATGCAGAAATGGATTAGAAACACAAGGCCTGCAGCTGGCTTGTACCTGGTACGGCACTGGGGGTGCAGCACGTACACGCCATCCTGGTACTTTTCCTGCACAGTTTCTCGGTCCAGGTTAGCCAGGGTCCTGGCAGCATGTGAGGCCTCCATAATTTGCTGAGATTTCATTGCTTCTGCCATCAGGGAAACCCAGCCTGGTGGAACAAAAACACATCCCCTAAATACTGATGCAACAAGGTCTGTAATTGCTGAGAGAGGTTTGGACCCAGAGGGTGGCAGGAGAAAGCCAATCTCCAGCACGTCTGCCCAGTGTAGCAGCCACACCACCCTATTCATTCCTCCCTGAAGGCCCGGAGCCCCAACATATGAGTCTGTGATGGTTCCCAACCAGAGGCCCCTTAAGGGATCTCAAAGAAGGTACAAGAGGGCAGGGAAACTAGAGCATTGGAAACGGGACAACCAGAACACAATTAAAGAGAATGTCAACATACTGTGGAAAGTGAGACTAATGTCACTGAACAATCTGTACAGAAATCGTCAAATGGGAACCTAATTTACTGTGTAAACTTTCACCAAAAACACGGTAAAATAGCATTAAGAGAAAGAAGGGATGAGGGATTCAATAACCATTTCCTTTATTTAGAAAATCTAACAAAAATTGCAGTTACTAGAAATGAGTCACAAAAGATAACAGAGTATCATAATACCCTGTGTTTAGCAACAATTATAAAACTCAGAGGGTGAAGAGAAGTTATTTCATCCTGATCAGCAGTCCTATCAGCAGCCTTTAATACAAATGAGGAAGTTTATTCTTTCCACACACACAAAGACATGGAATGATACAGTGATGGTTAAGATTGTGTAGCAACTTGGCTGGGCCATGATTCTCAGTGTTTATATGTGATCACTCCCATGATTGAATATGCTATGGGCAGCCAGTCAGGCGAAAGGGAGTTTCCTGAATACAAGCAGACGTTCTGGCTTTTGCTCACTCTGGATTCTGTGGCTGCCTCCTGTCGTCTCGTTTCCGGTTCTGGGGACTTGAGCTGTCAGTTTATGTACTGAACTTGGGATTCGTCGATCTTCACAGCCTGTGAGCACAGCCCTGCTCTCTGACCTGCCGATCTTGGGTTCGCCAGCCCCTGCAGCTACGTGAATCAGGAGAAACCTTGCAGTCTTGCCTGCCAATCTTGGGCTCGCCAGTTTCTGTGGCTGCGTGAATTGGGAGATGCCTCTACCCTGATCCACGGACCTGGGATGTTCTAGCCTCTACAATCACATGAGCTGTTTCCTTGATATAAATCTCTCTCTATATATATATACTTATATGCTTTACTGGTTTTGCTTCTCTAGAGAACCCAGCCTAGGAAAGATACTCACCAAACTCACAAAGAGCCATTAACTCTTAGGAAGGAGGTGGACTCTGTAACGAAGGAGGCGTCTGTAACTATTTTTCTGTATCTATGTTCTCTGAGGCATTTATGATGAGCTCTACTCCTGTCTTACTTACATGATGCAAAATAAAAGTGTGTGGGCTTTGAGGGCAGAGGCTTACTTCTGTAGGACCTCAGTGAAGTGACTTAGCTCCTCTAAGTGGGAGGAAGATTTTAATGAATCAAAGTCTACAGAATCACCTGGACCTTTCCCAGGCCCCATCAGGTTTGCAATAGATGGCTGTTGTTCCCGCGTCGTCCTCCCACTCTCTGTGACAGAAATGTCCAAGGCTGTTATGATGAGAAGCCAGTATTTAATAACCCAAAAGAAGCTCCCAGCCCATTTACTCTTTAACAACATACGAATTCATAATGTCAAAAAAACCCTCTTCAAAATTTGTTAAAGAATGCTTTATGGGAAGAATATTTTAAAATTCTACCAAGAGAGATACACAGGAGTATTACTGGTATGTACAACGATATGGCTTTATTTTGAATGAGGTGTCACAAGACAGGAAACAAAAACATGGCACGAGCCATTTCTGTGACATTTTTAATTGACAAAGTATTTTCACCAGGCCTGAGACTCCTGGACTGAGAGAAACTAAATTTCTGTTCTTTACAGCCACCCACTTGCGGTATTTGTTGCAGCAGCACTCAGACACTAAGACAGACAAGAAATACCAATGGGTAAGGAGGAGGATTTGCGCATGGTCTTAAGTGACTCCCCAGGAGCCTCAGTGGCGCAGTAGTTAAAGCACTCAGATGCTAACCCAAAGGTCAGCAGTTTAAACCCACCAGTCGCTCCGTGGCAGAAAGATGTGGCAGTCTGCTTCTATAAAGATTACAGCATTGGAAACCCTATGGGGTAGTTCTATCCTGCCCTACAGGGTCGCTATGAGTCGGAATCGACTCGATGGCAGTGGGGTTTTTTTTTTTTTTTTGGTGTCTCCCCACAATTTGCTTATTAGATGCAAGCGGGGAAGACAGGAATTACACAGTGGACCTCGTTTTAGTCTGACTGTGCCTCTTGTTTGACCAAATCATCTCAACAATTACACCAACCATTTATTAGCTCTCCATCATACAGACACTGCTCTCCTGTGGCTGTGCACACACTGACCAGCTTAGGTGTGGGTTACTCATGTCTCAGTAATTCCTTGCCCCTGCTATCACTACGGAGCCCTGGTGGCGTAGTGACTAAGGGTCCAGCTGCTAACCAAAAGGTTGACAGTTCAAATCCACCAGCCACTCCTTGGAAACCCTATGGGACAGTTCTACTCTGTCATGTAGGGTCAGTATGAGTCAGAATCAAGTCGACAGCACCTAACAACAACAACAAATAACTATCACCACCTGCTCTAAAGACCCACAACTAATGCTAAGTGGTCTTTTTCTTTTTTTTTTTTATTTTATTTTATTTTATTGTTTTCACCTTTAGGTGAAAGTTTACAATGCAAATTAGTTTCTCATTCAAAAATTTATACACAAATTGTTTTGTAACATTGGTTGCAATCCCCACAACGTGACAACACTCTCCTCCTTTCCACCTCAGGTTTTCCGTATCCATTTGTCCAGTTTTTCTGACCCTTCCTGCCTTCTTGTCTTACTTTTGGGCAGGAGTTGCCCACTTGGTATCATATATTTGATTGAAACAACACACGTTCCTCACGTGTGTTACTATTTGTTTTACAGGCCTGTCTAATCTTTGTCTGAAAAGTGAGATTATCAGGAGTAGCTTCAGTTCCGAGTTAGCAGGGTGTCCGGGTCTGTGGTTTCAGGGGTTCCTCCAGTCTCTGTCAGACCAGTAAGTCTGGTCCCTTTTTTTGTGAATTTAAATTCTGTTCTACGTTTTTTTCCTGTTTTGTCTGAGACTCTCTATTGTGATTCCTGTCAGAGCAGCTGGTGGTGGTAGCCAGGTACCATCTAGTTCTTCTGAGCTCAGGCTGGTGGAGGCTGTGGTTCGTGTGGTCCTTTAGTCCTTTGGGCTAATATTTTCCTTGTGTCTTTGGTTTTTCTTCATTCTCCTTTGCTCTAGACAGGATGGGACCGATACGTGTATCTTAGATGGCCGCTCATAAGCTTTTAAGACCCCAGACACTACTCACCAAAGTAGAATGCAGACCATTTTCTTTATGAATTATGTTATGCCAATTGACTTAGATGTCCCCTGAGACATCCCCTTGCCCTCAGCCCCAGCAGCTTGATCCCTCAAGGTGTCCAGATGTGTCTATGAAGCTTGTATGACTTTGTCTTGGTCAAGCTATGCTGACTTCCCCTATATTGTGTGTTGTCTTTCCCTTCACCAAAGTTGACGCTTGTCTACCATCTAGTCAGTGATTTTCCTTCCGCATCCCTTCCCACCAGTGTAACCATCAAAGATAGTTTTTTTCTGTGTATAAACCTTTGTTTGAGTTTTATCATAGTGGTCTCAAACAATAACTTGTCCTCTTATGGTTGACTTATTTTACTCAGCATAACGCCACCCTCCAGATTCATTATGTTGTGAGATGGCTTGCGGATTCCTCACTGTTCTTCCTCATTACGTAGTAGTCAGAGTCTTAACTCTACTGAAAACTTAACGTACTGTGAGGGCTGGAGATGGAAGAGGGAGAACCAAGGACTGAACCAAATGCCCAGTATATAAAGGGGTTACCTGAGTGGACTATTGCAGGGTGAAGATGTTCGTTCAGAGCCATATTCCCAATGACACGCATTATATTTCTCTGCACTTTCGGGCAGTCCTTGTAAAGCTGGTAGAGCCTCTGAAGCAACTGCAGGCCTCCATTTGCTTCAATTTTGTCACAATGTGTGGGTATCTAGCAGAATAAATTAACAAGAACACACTTTATGTTGTACAAATTCCCAACCCAAGATAACACAGCACACTGATGTGGACAGCCAGCTGGCTCCTCCCCAGGACAGAGACCCACTGAGGACGCACAAACCTCTGATCTCGGCTTACTTAAATGAAAAAGCCAGCCTTATCTCAGTGGGAAGTGCTTCAAAATCTTTTTTAAAAATTCTACGAATGCTTACCTTACCAGGACTTCTAAAATTTTCATTCTTAAAATTATTCTGCTTAGTTTTTGGGTCAGAAGTAACCTGACAATGTCATTAATACAGACTTGTTTCAACTTATAGGGATACTTCGACTGGCTTGAAACAACCTTAAAATTGTTCTGTAACCTTGAGACATGAACCACCAGGTCACGGGAAATAATCCCAGATGCAAGCTGGCCAACGTTGCTGGTCCGTACGTGGACTCACCCAGACGCAGCTGGCCACCTATGCGGCCCTACACACAACCCCAGGGTAGCCAGTGCCCATGGCTGTAGGGCTGGCCGAAAACTCAGGAGTCAGAAAAAGTTTAAAAAGAGAAAGAGCAAGTAAAAATAAAAGAAAAAGGAATTTGAATTTTTAATGGAGAAAAGAGAGAAAACAAAGAAAATGTATATTAAGGTCAAGCGACATAGTTGGCCAGCAAGTTATTTCAATCTGTCTAATGTCACTGGAGGATCTCTGGTGGCGCAGTGGTTAAGTGCTCAGCTGCTACCCAACACGTCAGCAGTTCAAACCCACCAGCTGCTCCACGAGAGAAAGATGTGGCAGTCTGCTTCCACAAAGATTACAGCCTTGGAAACACTATGGGGCGGTTCTACTCTGTTCTATAGGGTCACTATAAGTCAGAATCAACTCAATGGCAATGGGTTTTTTTAATATCATTGGGCACTGCCTTGCCTCTTCCATCACCAGTTTTACTCACTAACATGTCACGTATATACAAGTTTCATTTTCTAAATTTTAATTAACTTTTATCACGGTTTAAATATATTAAAAGTATGCCTTTAGATATCAAGCCAGGTATGTAATAATCTGAGGTTTCTGGAAAGGTAACTGTGATATTCCATGCACTGTAATTTCAACTGAAGACGCATCAGACTGCTTCAGAAACTACTTCTAAGTCAGAAACGCTCAAGCTCGTCTTCTCACTTTCGCTTTTGACAGTAACGCTTTATTAAGTAGGCTTCCTGCTCAATTCCTAACTTTACCAGAGGGAACTAAAGATGACTGGAGAGCCCAGGCCCACGTGCCAAGTCTAACGGTCACCAAATTAAACTGGAGAGTTTGCAATCTCAGGCTGGTGCTTCTCATGGTATGGGGATGGACACTGGCATCAATCTCACCAGGGATGCCTGGAAAAATGCAAATTCCGGACACTGCCCCAGATCCACTAAATTAAACTCCCTATCAGTAAGCAGGAAATACGCGTTTAACATGCTTCCTGAGTGATTCTTGTGCACTAATGTTGGCGCACCACGAATCTAAAGTTTGTTGCTTTTTTCTCTTTAAAAATAAACTGTGATCATGATGGAAAAGCCGCCATGATGCCAACAGTTTAAAAATCACTAACAGACGCTACAGTTACAACTCAAGAGTGTGGCCAGACAAGCATTCCCATTTTCCTAACACGCCACATCTCTGGCAGACGTTTTAACAGAAATTAATTACCTGATAATACTATGGGTAAAAATGATCTGAGAAAGTAGGAGACACTATAACTCAAATGTAAATGCCATATTCAGAAGACAGGCTGGTTTCTTTATGTGCAATTAAAGGTTAAATCCATTAAAAAATATTTTTAATAATGAAATTCATGTATGATGGTTATCCATTCTAACAAACTGGGAAAAAAAAATTAAAAACAAGTGAAAAGCTTAGTTTTCTTTTGAAATAAACAAAAATTGATCATTTCCCCTGCATAAACAAACCTGTATAATTTATTCAATACAATCATAAAAAGTAAAACTATATTTAAAGATGTAAGTTACCTCAGAATGTTTTACTATAGCTTCTAAACAGAACATTTCTACTGTAGCTGAAGGAACTTTTCCAAAACTTTCAGCATAAGGAAGTCCATTTCCTCCAAAACACCATAAGCCACCCTGAAATCAAGATAATTAGAATTTATACTGAAATGAGTGACTAATGTTTTTTGTTTGACAAAATAAATCTCTGTCCAACATACAGTACTAGTATGCAGTAATACGTAGGACTCTAAATATTCTGGGCACCACCAGCGTGTCAGTTTGTTGTACTGCAGCGGCCTGCATGTTGCTCTGAGGCTGGAAGCTATGCCACTGGATTTCAAATACCTGCTGGGTCACCGATGGTGGACAGGTTTCGGTGGAGCTTCCAGAATAAGACCGACTAGGAAGAAAGGCCTGGTGATCTACTTTTGAAAATTAGCTGATGAAAACCTTACGGATCACAACAGAACATTGTGTTTAGTGAAACAGAGGGCCAATGAGGGTGTGGGAGACCCTCAGTGAGATGGACTGACACAGCAGTCACAACGATGGACTTGAACTTGCCAGCGACACGAGGCTGACACAGGACCAGGCAACGTTTTGTTCTGTGGTACATAAGGTCGTCATTTTGTTCTGTAGTATATAAGGCCGTCATGAGTCAGAGTCAACTCTACAACAGCTAACAACAACAACAGAACATTCTGAGACCTTAAAGGGGACTTTAAGGTTCTAAATGCTAGCCCCAGGAACAACATCCTGGAAAGAGTGGTCAGTCACAAATATTCACTGAGTGAGTGAGTGAGCCTACCTTCTGAGCAGCCAGGCTCTGACTGCTCTCGCTCAGAGCCAAAGACGTAAAATACTGGATACATTCATCCACCTCTGTTTGTGGCAAAGAAGCCAGCAAGTGCCTGAGCTCCTCTTCAACAGAGGAATCCTGAGTAAAAGGAAAAGAAAGTCTTCAAAGATAAGCTTAATAACTGAGTGCAACAAAAAGTACCCAAATAACAAAGCCAAAAAGAAAAATTGGCAGAGATAAATCAGTATATTCAGTCTTAAAAACAGTCAGGTACACACACACCCAGGTAAAGAATCATTTAATTTCGAATTCTACAGTTTCACATCTTCTACCTGAATCTGTAAGATAAAGCTATCCCAACACCCACTCATCAGTATCTCATACTATGGTGGCTTGTGTGTTGCTAACGACCTAGAAGCTACACCACTGGTATTTCAAATACCAGCAGGGTCACCCATGGTGGATAGGTTTCAGCAGAGCTTCCAAACTAAGACAGACTAGGAAGAAAAGCCTGGAGATCTACTTCTGAAAATCAACCAATGAAAACCTTAAGGATCACAACAGACCATCATCCCGGATAGTGCTGAAAGATGGGCCCCCTAGGTTGGATGGCACTAAAAATTCACAATGGCCACAACAATGGACTGAGGCATACCAACGATCATGAAGACGATGCAGAACAGGCGGCATTTGTTCTGTTGGACGTGGGGTCGCCATGAGTCAGAGACAACTCAACTGCAACTAACAATAACAAACTAAAGCTACTGCTTTTTTAATCCAGAACTCATCACTGTCTCATTTTCTCTCATAACTCGTATCTAGCAATTAGTTTTTCTATTTTTCAAAAACTGATTGTTAACATAGAAGTTTTAAGACTTTCCCTTTCCAGCCTAGGAAGGGTGCTCATGAAGCATGTGTCAACATCTACAGTGATGGTTCTCAACCCAGGGTGATTTCGCCTCCCAGGAAGCATTTAGTGATGGCTGCAGCGGCGCCGTGGTTAAGAGCTCAGCTGCTAACCAAAAGCTCTGCAGTTTGAATCCACTAGCCACTCCTTAGAAACCCCATGGGGCAGTTCTACTCTGTCCTAGAGGGTCGCTATGAGTCGGAATTGACTTGACAGCAAGAGGTTTGGTTTTTGTTCTGTTTTTTTTGAAACATTCTGGTTGTTAGAACTGAGCGCGCTACTCGCATCTAGCGAGTAGAGGCCAGAGGTGCTGCTAAACACCCTGCAACGCACAGAACAGCTCCCAGAACAAACAACTACTTGGTGTCGAGGTGGAGAAAACCTGAGCTACAGTAGCCTTAAAACAAGTGATCAGTTTATGGATGTTGATACGCTGTGAAGTTCCCCTATGGTGTACAGGGACGCCCGATCCCCAAAGCAGGAAAATAATACCAGAAGAACAGCACCACCTGAGGAATCAAGGAATCTCTGTATGAAAACTACTCCTTCAGTTTTACATCCTGGGTGCTTGTGAAAAGCAGCCAACAGCTACTTTATTTTGCACCCAAAGTGAAGATGATACTTTAAACTACTTTTCACACTCTGGATTAGTTTATTTACTTACTTCTTTTAAGGATGGCAAAGGAGGTGGTGGGAGAAAAAAACGAAGATCACTCTCTTTGCTTCGTGCCAAACCAATCAGAGTTCTCAGATCACAGGCTTGAGCAATGATTCTATACTGGTAATCTATTGTAAAAGTACATTGAACACCCAGATTAGTTTACAGCTGTTGCAAGCATTGAATGAATAAACTACTTGAAAGCACTCCGATTTTTAAATTGCTATACAAGTTTGTAGTTCAAAATTTCATAAGCATTTTTTCACAATTGCATTTACAATACCTCTGAGCTAAAAAAACCAAAATTTCCATGACTAATTTCACCATGAAAAAAAGGTATTTGCAGTGAAGAAATCGTTGGTCTGCAAAATTCTATCATGTGATCTCCACATCTTTTTAACCAAGGCCATATTTTCCAACTACCGATCCTTCTTCCTTTCCAACTTTCACATTCCAATAATCAATGCATCTCGATTTCGTGTGTGATCCTCAGACTGCAAAAGTTTGTAAAAAATCTTCAGCTTCTCTGGTGATAGGGAACCCAAGGTTGAGTAAGGATATTGTTGATGTGTTGTGAGATTTTTAACCATTGTCATAGGGCAACATTTGTAGTAACTGTTAAATGAGAAACTATTTTGTTCTGTAAGCCTTCATCTTAAGTGAGAATAACAGCACAATTGGA